CGATGAAATTATTAATAAATCAGGTATTATCAGAATAATATCGTCAAGGAAGAAAAGTTTATTAAACATTTTTTACAAAGAAGTGTTCATTGATCAATCGTTCCTAAAATTATGGAACAATGCTTGGGATAAAATCAATTATTATAGAAATAATTATGAAACTATCATCATTTGATAATACTTTACAAAAAGATAGAACAATTCATTTCCTCTCTTCAAATGGTTTAAATGCCAGGTGAAGTTTGCGAGGCTGCTGCAAAATATTCTTTCTTAATTTATGCGAATGAAATAATTTACGGAAACAACGAGACGAGGAACTGGGTCAGAAAGACGCGAGAGGAAATAAAGACTGGGAAGTGATGTCGATATACTTGAAGGAAGACACAGACGCGAGAATACTGGTAGGTCTGGCAAGAAATCCCTTGCGAGTCCTCGTTTCTATTTGCTTTTTCTAACTCCATTTCATTCGTATAAATATTCAGATGATGGTTCCGTGCATCTGCGCTCTCTTCTTATTTCTTTTTTACAAGCTCTTCGTTTCTCCTTCGTCACTCTTCGTTACCAAAAAATATCAAACGATTATATGATCCAAGAATATCGTGTTAAATACACAAAATAAGAGAATCATCGTTCTCTATCATCGAGTTACACGTTCCAAGTTTATATTTTTATAATGAAAAATTAACGAAATTACAAGTTTATTACCAAAATCGAGAAAATAGGAATTGCATTAACAATGGAAGGAAAAGAAAAAAAAAATAAAAGACATTCTCGCTCGTCGACACAAAGTAAACCATTTACCATTCGAACGAATAAATCTCTGGTCCGTACAATACAAGGTCCGTACGATTGACAGTGGTTTTCGTATCCTTTATCGTCACGAACAAAAGCTATTTGAATTTTTCATAGTCCTCTATGCGCAACGAGAAATTGACGCTTGCTCGATCGCATTATTTGGATTAATTCGTTCGGGTTTTGTTAGATCCATCCGTTATTAGAACACGTGCTTTTGGGACAAAGTATGATTCTTTCCTTTTTTCCCTTTCGTTTCGATTGTTTCCGACATATTCCCAAACGATCGAGAATACGGTTTCGCGTATGAGAATCGGTCTACAGCAATGCAACATTGTGTACAGTTAACCACGAGTATCATTGATCCACCGGAAGCGGTACAGGCTGTTTCAAAGCTGGAAGTCTGCGCGCGAGAATTTAGGTTACAGACCTGGTGGTTCGTTCCTCCCTTCCTATCTTCGTTCCATTGACTATCCGCGACTTGGCGACCAACCAATTCCGGCGTTTTCGTGACATACTACTAGCCTACATTTTGTCCGGTCGATGCTACTGGTGCATCGAACTTTTGCACTTTGGAACGTTTTGCTCTAATTCCTTCTCCCCTTTTTCTTTTTCTTTTTTCTTTCTTTTCTTTTTTTTTTTTTTTTTTT